CTACCTGGTCATGTTCTGATGTGTAAGAATTACTAAAGAGAATCCTGAAAACACTGTGTGCACAGTTTTGGGCTGATCAACTCAGTCTAATAGATACACTCTCTCGACAATGTCGACGTTATAACGTCCCAACAGTTCAGTTTTAGGAATGATCCACTAGACTATCCACACAAATGATTTGTTTATAATATTGAAGTCTTATGTAGAATCAGCTACACCTTTCGGAAGAACTGATATATAAAAATAGTGTCCAGTGTCTTATGAAGTTTCCAAAAGCCATCTTCGGGTTTGGATTCAAAGTTTTCCTTATCCTAGACTTGCTGCCACCGAAGATGACTCTAGGCTGCCCTGTTATTTAACCTATATCTAGAAGGTGAATTTATGCCTTTTCTAAGCGCATTTGCGCAAAGTGAACGAATCAGACACGGTCAGAATTTGAATTCAGATCGGCGATTTGACTTTCTACGCCGTTAACCGTATATATATATATATATATATATATATATATATATATATATATATATATTAATTTATAAGATTAATTTGAGTAAAATTTGGCATAACTGATTAATGTTACCTTCTACATCCCGACTTCAGAGTTTCGTAGACGGGCCTGTTCGGCCTCCCTTCAGGGAGTATCAGCAATATATATATATATATATATATATATATATATAATGTGTGTGTGTGTGTGTGTGTGTGTGTGTATAGATATATATATAGGGTGAATTTAGGCACCAAATTTTCATTTATATGTTGGGTTAAAAACCAGTGAAATATTTAATATCCTCTACACGCACAATATTTTATAACGGACTCGTAAACATAAAACAGTAATTAATAAACAATACTTTCCAAAACAAATTATCATTAGAAAAAATAAAAACGAATAATGATACAAACTAGTAGTTCAGGACATGAGTTGCACTATGACTTGGCCTTTAGTAAAGAACGCCTTGATAATCTTCCTAACTACAAAATTGATAAAATTAAATTAACATTAGAAAGAATAAAAACGAACAATCGAACAAACTAGCAATACCAAGGAAAATTTCACGCTTTTGCTATTTTAATTTTGTTTAATCATAATTCTTAAGTTAATGATTGAATAAGCTCCTTGTGATTTTCTTGACTGTAATATACGCATGGAAATTCCTCTGCTCCGTCGCAAACAACTTTCACAAAATATTGCAATAACAACCATAAGCACAAATGTAGTGCATTATTTAAAGAAGTAAGAGCGTACAAATAAAAAGAATTGAAATTGACAAATTTTTGCATTTCATTGAAGTAGACGTTAATTCAGATGAGAGCGTTATCGTCTCCTCTATCTTCTTTCTCTCTTTTTCACATTGAAACCAAACAGCGTCTCTGACATGTCGTTTCCGTCTTTCACTGAGATAAAAAAAGAACAGTCCACTATTTATTGAGGTACTGCCAGGACGTAACATACGTGCTAACTATGGAACGAAAGAACATGCAATGTTATATGTTAATAATAATAATGATGATGATGTAAAGAACACCAATAAACTATTCCTACATAAACAATTGCACAGTAAACACAAATTATACGAAAAATGTTATGAAACCTAATACATCGCTACATATCACCTAACTAGCAAAACACAACAAATAAATAAAATCCGCCAACATGATCACCACCAATGATACAACAACAACAAATGGCAATTTTAGCAAAGCAATGTTACCTATGCATTCTTTTGCCAACTTGGAGAATGTCTGCATAATAATAATTATAGAAATAACACAGTCATCGCTTACAAAACAACTACATTATCGCATTAAATTGCTATCTATCCGATAATAGTTCAGTTAAATCGCATATCACCAATCAACACAACAACAAAACAGAACAACAAATCCTTACCAATTGCATAAAAATACTTTATATACTTTTTTATGTAAGATATTTTTCACCAATATGTTGTAAGGAACAACTATTACAGTTTATCTTATATATGCCTGCTTCAGAATTATTCAGGTTTTGTATGCTTTTCTGTTACCATTGAGTATAAAATAAGGATATTAGAGGTTTTTAAACGTATTTTAAAAGTGTGTCATGTAAATATTCGGGATTGCAGATTCTTAGTGTTCTTAAATAAAATCATTTAGAGTTTCTAGAAAGTGCTCTTTTCAGAAGTATTTTACGTCCCAATTTTTGAAAAATTTAACTACATATCAGATACTATCATAATATATCACCATGGTAAAGCATTACCACATAGTGTAAATAGACTTATTAACAATGAACCCACGATAGATTTTACTTTTGAAACGGAAACTAATAACGCATTAGCCTTCCTACATACTATATTGAATTGAAATAATGACGACTTCCAACCGTTAAAATTGGCAATTTCTTATTTAAAAGTTTGTAAATGTCTCCAATTGTATATAAAGATTTTAACATCGAGACATGTAATACTAGATGACAAATGCAAAAAGAAAAGTAGAAATTTTTGTCTCCAGATGTTGATAGTTATATATTGATATATGTTGTCTCCAAGAAACCAAAATTAAAGAAAGACTTGATATTAATATCGGAGTTAGAGATCACAAGTTAATAGCTGTTAAAACAGTAAATATTATGGAAATGATCTTGTCATCAATACAAACGAACAACCATACAACCACACATTAAACAACATTAAAAGAACTATCAATAAAATTCCATCATTCCCCGTAAAGACTTTGAAGAGCTTGGAAGATTTGCAGCATTTTGTGAGTTAGCACAAGACAAGGAGGTTTGAAGAGGACTGATAAAAATTATTTATAAAGTTGCTGAAGATGAGAAATCACATTGATTTGCAGTGTGCCTTCAAGTTGAAACATCTCTCATGATAATAAATACTAATTCTTAGATAAAACTTTTACATTTACCTTGATAAAGTTCCTCAAAGAACGAAACGTGTTGACATAAATTTTGTCACTTCTTTTATTAATATTGTTTTTTCAGGTACATTTATTCATGTCTGAATTTTACGTATATAAAGAGAGAGATAGAGAATGAGAAAGTCTATTTATCGGTTTATAATGTGCGCTTCAAATATTTTTTAATTACTTAAAACGTTTCCCCGTCACGATGATCATTGTTGGCATATATTGAATAGATCGGCAGTCAGGCACCCCCACCTCGTTCGTCAATGGAATAGCAGTAAACAAGCAAATCTGACAGGTATTGTAGTAAGTTCGATCTTAATGAGAGTCCAGCTTTCGTGTCTTTAGATCAGATTAATCTACATTTTGTAAATGACTCTATTCAAGACTGAAATAGCAAAGGAGCCATTCAAATGAACGCAAGTTTTGAATTTCATGCCAATAATTTTCCCACTATCCTTTTGTAGTTGTAAAGAAAAGAAAAAAAGACTGTCAACTTATAGTAGCAATAAACGATTTCTTCTATCTCTCGACCGCAACACTTGTAGCCAAATCACAGTTCAAACGATAGTCCATCGTAACAGTCCAAGAGGCAACATAGAAACGACAAAATCGGGTCACACATCCAACCTTCACTTCTCACCAGCAAAAACGCGTGTTCGTCTACGAAGCTCAAAAAATCCAAATCTCTCACATAAGCGAAAAACAACGGCTTTTGTTCACCGAGAAGAGATCTTTCTGATTGCTCACCCTATTCAGAGGAGGGAAGAACATTAGCATAGATTCTGGTCCTTAAAGTAGATTTTTGCTATTTTTTGGTAATTTTTCTTCGGCAGATCTCACACAAAACACGAACTCTTTTTCGATGTAGCTGATTATCTCTTTCACTAAACCTTCTTAACTGAGTGAACTTATTCACTGATCATTTTCCTGTAGATCTTTTGCCATTTCTTTTTCTTCAAAGCATTCGACTACCAAAATTCGATAAAGAGAGAGACACGCTCGTAGAAATGAGTATTGTTATAATTCTTGAAAGGAATAATTCGTTTAATTTTCTTATGCGTGATTATTCTTAATATTCTGTGACTAGCAATGGAATACGAAGATGAAATCCGACCGCCAAAAAAACAAAGCGTGAGGTATTGAAAAGCCATAGTTCGTGGAGGCGATCTGGAATGGCAGATCATGTATTAAGAGAAAAGCGAGCTCAACAACTTCTGCAGAACAAAAGTAAAACTACAAAGAACAGTGTAAAAAATAGTGCTTTCCTTGATTTATGTATAATATAAAATGCAGATAATACAAATTATCCGTTTTTAAAAATAATCTAATACTAAACCGTTTATGTGTGTGTGTGTGTGTGGCTGTGTGCACTCGAACGCGCGTGCAACAAGATCAGAAAGAGAAAGACAGACGTTAACGTTGCTTTAGCAGACGATAAACGAAGCGAACAAATTTTACTCACACGATTGTAAAAGTACACAGAAACATCAAATAGACTTGGTAAAATGAATGCGTAAAATAAAAATAAGCAATTACATAATAGTCTTCTTTCTTTATTTAAAATATCAAAAATAAAACTGATAATAAGTTTTTTCAAGTAGCACAACGCCTAACAGTCACATTGTTAATAAAACGACATACTGTAAGGTAGCTGGAATGAAGCAAATAGATTGGAAGAGCTTGTCTCCACTAAAGAAGGTCAACTAAACCTTCAACTAAACCTTAAACACACACACACACACACACACACACACACACACACACACACACACACACACACACACACACACAGGCTAAAAAATAAAAATAAAAAACAAATATCGATTTAGTAAAACTCAACAAAGAAACAATGTAATAAAACTGAAATCGGGTCAGTTAGAATAAGTTTCGTCACACGATATTACAATCATTGCGAAGTTCAGCGACCCATTTTTTTTTAACACAGTCGCTGGACTTTACACTTGCACTGTTGTTTAAGATGACCAGTATTAGATCATGCAGGTCACGTCTACATCTGATTATGTGGAACGTACATAACTTCATAAGCTTGTCAGCTGTTGTAGATATAGGAATATCAGAGCTGACATCGGCTGTACATGCAAAGGTAAGAGATAAATATTAGCGAATACCTTTTGCTTATTTCATTGAAATTTCTTTTACCTTTTTTGTTTCTTTTTAATGCTCGTCTTTTTTCATTTCCATTCTTTTTCTTTTCTTTCCGATTTATTTATCAGTATTTATCTTTAATGTCTACATATATGCACACGGGAAAATTATATGCGTGTGTGCGGGTGGAGAGAGCGAAACTTTTAATTATATATGACGAACGCGTAATATAATTTATTTTTTTTTTCCCCTTTGATTTCTGTTGTATACTCATTTCCGCCGGGTCCCAACCAGAGACCTAAGGTCAGTTAATGGCATTATGACATTTTCAACTGCACACCTGTGTATGTAAAAACAAACAAACAAAAAGACAAAAACATAAGAACACGCACATTTTACATAGATAAAACCCTTCGTAGAGAGTGACATGTTGGTGAGACCAGTTTTTTTGTATTTCTTTAAGGTATGAGCAACCAGATATCCCTTCAATGCATTTATCATAACTTTTACAAATCAAAACCATTTTATTATTATTATTATTACTATTATTATTATTATTATTATTATACTAGGTCACCTGCACTATCAAAAGACGACACAAATATTTAAATAATTTTGCAATTGCATTGGTTATATTTTTTGTATAATTAACCTGGGATTTTCATCTACGCAATTAATTTTATTGTCACATGTAAAAAAGAATGTTGCTTTTTAAATCATTAAAAATGAAAATATATAAACAAGGCTAATACGAAATAAAAAAAGGAAAAGCGCTGTATTAGCATCCTGATCTCCATGCATGCTAATAAAAAATTCCTTTTTTATGATAACACGAGGCGTGATCACTTATTAGCATCGAGTAATATCAGCTATTATCATAATGGAAGATCACACTACTATGAAAAGAATAACCTCTGTGATCGACATTTATATATATATATATATATATATATATATATATATATATATATATATATATATATATAATTATTATAAAATTTATATATAAATTATTTATTTATATAAGCTCTGTTATAATAAATACATTGAGCTCTCTTTGTGGATCAGTTTTAATATTTTATATTATTAGGATTCACTTGGATTATTTACTAATTTGCATTTAAAGATTGATAGAAAAATGTCCGATGTCATGGATGATCAATTGCTAACCTTTTAAGACTTAGAAGCCACAAGATTCTTCTAAAAATGCTCATGCATTTTGCAGTCTAAGAGATTATAATAAACAAACCTGTTGGTCCAACTTGTAACAAAATTCATACGTTCCTGTCTCTCCTTGTAAATGATATGGTAAACTGGTTACGAGTTGAGTCACTTTAAACACTGATATTAATATATTTGTAAACTAAACAAGAACAGAAAAAATATCACTGTTTTCGTTGTCATTCTTGTTTGAAAGCTATTTTTAACGTGTCCCAGTGTATTTGCCGAAAATGTCATTTCTTTTAATATTTCAATTAGTTTGCGTTTAAATTTGGTTAAATCCCACACTAAACGATTTACTATTACTATTCGCTTACATTTGCCAACGAATATTTATAAAGTTTAATATCAGACAAACTCCAATAACTACATAACACGATATTACGACAGTACATGGCAAATGGATGCAGAATGCAGCCGGAAGGTTGTTTTACGTCATTCTCTTAAGAGTGGAGAGATTGCCTGTTGATAAATATCAATATTCGAATTACTACTTTTTTTTAACCTTGGTTTAAAAAAACACTTTCTGATCTTCTTTCTCTGTGTCTATGTGCTGTGATCTTCTCCACAACTTCCTGCCTTTTGTTACTCTCAGTTAAATTGCTTCCCTTTGTAACACCACTGACACCAGCAGAAAATACATAACTCTGCTTCCAGAAAGGCTAGTCTCTAACACGATATATAACACTACTTCGAATACACTCGGGATTTTTAATGTTAAAATATTATAAATATAATAATGGCGATAACAAAGATAGTGTAATGTCAGAAATGTTGTCAATCAGTAGAAGACTGGAAAAAAATGATATTTAAAGCAAAGAGTCTTTGCAATAATGCTCGATATCAGAGATAGGACATTAATAGGATTAATATAAATATGATATTTGTCACTTAGCTGATTGATGTTATATTCAGCACCCCGACTCGAGACGCTATTTACATTATTCGGACTATTGTCCTCATCTTTGTTGCCATATTTATCACAACGTTTCGGCTGTTATACGCTCCGGCCTTCGTCAAGTGGTTGAAATGTCGAACTGAACCCTTTATTTCGCTCGCTGGGGTAAACTGTTCTATTTCCACGTGCCATGTCTAATGGATGTCAATTATCTCCTGTTAATTCCCCTCTCCAATTTCTCCACTGCTTTAACCAGCTATTGAACTCACACTCTTTGGGTCCTGTCACTGGATCTAATTAACGCCTTTATCCACTGTGCCACTCGAGACTTGAGAGTTTCATAGACGAACATTTTTTGTAATCGTTCGGTTCGCTCGTCAGGAGGTATCAGCAGTTAATTGCCGATTTTCTCATTTTCGTTATTTTTATATAAAGTTTTAAAAATAATAATTCATGCGCTTTTATTGGTGTTTAATATATCATTAGAATAATATCTGAAAACATTTTCTAAGTGTTTCATGTTCAAATAAAAAAATCCAAGATGAATGTGACCCTAGACGACATGCATCGTTTCGTCACTAAACGAATAAAAACATTTATGAATGGGGTTAAGGATTAATCAGCAATAAGACAATTCTTTTATAGAACAATGGACATTTCTTAAACCTAAAGGTAACTTTTTTAAATTTTCATAAAATAAAATACAAAATTTGATGGACCCATTTACTTACCTGTTCCTTACCTACTCTCTGGGCTTTGCAACTCTGTCCTCTTGGCAACTCAGATCACGCAGTAGTGTTTGCAGATATTTATTTCCGCTTGTCTATGAGGCTATTTACAAAACATCGTAAATTTCTGCTATTTACAAAACATCGTTTTTGTTACCTAGGCACTGATTTCGTGATTTTCTGAGCAATACTCCCTGGAATTAAATTTTTGGCTTTCGTTTCTCTGGATCAACCGCCGATCTGTTAAAGATTATTACTGAATTTGTCTATCCGGCTTTAGATAAGAACAGTGATGCTCGGGTTGTGACTTGAAATATCTTGATGTTTGACAGGTTTTGTCATGCTAGACTTCTCCTCAATCTCAAGGGCTATGGTGTCTCCGACCGGATATTTGACTTTATCAATCGAATGATGATGTTCGTATTGATTGACCACAATTCTAGATCATTTCACATTAACCCGGAGGTCTCCCAGGTCTCTATCTTTGGACCTACGTTGATTCATATCTTCATCAACGACTTTCTCGATGTCATCTGTTCAAAACTATGTATTTGTGCTGATGACACAACTATTTACTTCTGTCTTAATGGTAAGTCCGACAAAATAAATATGATATTTGCTCTCAAAAATTATCTCCAATCAGTTGTTAACTGGAGCAAGAAATGGCTTGTAAATTTTTACGCGTCCAAGACGAAATTGCTATCCTTTAATCATCACAGAGAACACTTTTTACCCTCCGTCAGCATGGCCGAGGCTAACCTTCATTGACAGGAAGTGAAGCGATTATATTGAATCAATTGCTTTGAACTGCGGCTAATAAGGTTGGTTCATTGTGTCGTTCTAGACAGTTTTTCTCATCTGAATCTATATATTGCACATTTATAAATCTACTATTCGTTCGTGCATTGAATATTGCTGCCATTAGTATATTTTCTCGCACTTCTCACCTGTAGAACTTCCTTCCGATTTCTTGCTTCCGTACCAACTAAAATTTTCAAAAATCTGAATGCAACGTCAATCGCCATCCTCTGTTTTCCTAAATCCTGTCCTCTCTCTGTTATCTTTGCTCCTCACTAAAGACGTCTCATTCTTTTCCATTCCCAGTAATCCCTTCTTTACATTCGGAATAACATCCTCATCTTTATTTTTAACAACAAAGATAAAGACATCCCAAAAATTCAAACAGAAATTAGTTTATTTACTATCAAGCAAATCACGTTTACTATCAAGTAAACTATTACTATTTAGCAAATCAAGATGATGACAGTTTTGATAAAAAAAAGTTATTGGCACGATTCTTCTTCTTCTATGTGGCGTGGGCGATTATGGCCCTCCACAACCTCCTATCCATTGTAGCTCTTAGCAACGTATTGCCAAACCTCTCACTCCGTTCTACCTTTCATTCACACAATCTCATCAAGTCGGTGGCCTGCAGTATTCGTCTGTTGATTGATTTGTTTGTTTAACGGCATATCAACTCTTATGGGTCATTTAATGCTGAAATTTAATTTTTAGGGGAACTTTGAAATAATAAACATATGATATACGTTATTCTGCTTTCACAATTGAATACATGGTAGATGATTCTCAGCTTTTTGTGCAGATACACGGACACGATTACTAAAAGCGGTGATATGTGTATTTTATGTTGGAGTTTTGTTGAAATTATATTTTGGAATACAGTTTGATTTCTTTAAAAAATTGTAGGAGTTCTTTCATGTTGGTTGTTTGGGTGGTTGATTTTGTTTGGTGGTATATCAACACCTCTATGGGTTATTTAATACCGAAATCTAAATATTTTGAACGGAATTGTATGCTTTTAACTACAGAGATTTTGTACATAATTTTATAATCTCAGAATAAAGGTATGTTTTTTGGTGCATCTGATTAAAAGAAAGTTAAGTTTTTAATATATTACTAAAAGATTTAACTTATACTATTATATTATATTTATATTATTAAATATCTATTTTATATATAGTTTTAAATAATGACCTATCCATCCACAAGTTTACTATCGTGAATAAAAGCATCATTATTTAATAGAATTAATATCAATATATTAATTAACTTATTATTAATGTTAATATATCAGATAATTTGATTTCATTTAATTTCCTGAACGTCATTAAAGACAGTATTGTTTGCAAA